CTTTCTGGTTTTACTTGGAGGTACACGGGTGGTTATCAGTAGGGTTATAAGTAGGGTAACTATACTTATAACCTGTATTAGGGGACTTATGACCCCACTTATAACCCATGAACCTCCAAGTAGAGTTGCAATAGAATAAGGCATGGTAAACCTGGTCTGTGTCTGATCTGGGTTGACAGAGGTTCGAACAATCCAAGACAGTGATTTTCTCTGGCTACGCGATATCTCGTGCTCCTGCTCCTCTTCCCACTCCTATATTCTACGACTACCGCGACGACGATTGCTACTATCACTAGTACTACTGCTACCGCCACCACCACTGTTGCTGGTGCTGCTACTACTACCAAATATTGTAATATTAATAATAACAATGCGACGACTACGACTACTAAACTAGACCTACCACATCGAATTTCACCCAATGTCTCCATGCTCACGTTCATTTGCATCATCAGGCGGTGTGCATTGGCGTGCATTGTGTCGCAAGTTATCCCTAAACCCTGAACCCTAAACCCAACCCAGAGCATCCAAGTATTTACTCCCTATTATAAGACTTTCGGGCATTTTTAGGTATCAAAACAAGAGCAACTTGACCCCTTAGAGCAGCGCAAAGCATACGAGGTTCGGGCTTTCCGACGCCACTGCTTTGCGCTTTGGCACCGTGGAGCGAGTGTAGTGATTCGGGACTACGGCGGCTAGGGAGTCGGATTTGGATTCGGAGTTTAGGGTTTAGGGTTTAGGGTTTAGGGTTTAGGGTGGAAAGGGTCGGGAGGGAGAGATGGACACCGATATCGTCATCTAGCCAGTTTAGAGTTCACGGGTTAGGAGGTTCAGAGTTTAGATTTCTGGCGAATACTCACAGCGGGATTGATCCATCACGGGTTAAGGTAGGGGCGGAAGAACTACTAATATTATTTCTTATTCCTTAGGGTACGGTGGGCCCGTTTTCCCTTGTTGATTAGGCTCCTTAAAAGAAAATAGTTACCCAAAACCAAGAAGAGAGCCCCAATTGTTCCGAGGTTACGGTTACTGGGGATCCTAGAATGCCAACCCAGAGACCCGACTCTCCCTTAATTGAGGAATACCTAGGGACCCAGGGTTCCTGAAAGGGATCTATGGGGTGTAGGGTTTAGGGTACCCAGAGACTGCGATGTCGCTTAACTAAGGAACATGCCGTAAACTGTAGTAGGACTCCTGATATGATTGAAGGTATATTCCTTCATTAAGGGATACTGGAGTACCTGGGTACCCTAAACCCTATAGATCCCTTATGGATCCCGTTACAGGAACCCCAATTCCTTAGGTATTCCTTACTTAAGTGATACTGGAGTCTCTGGGTTAGGCCTCTGCGTTACGCGGTGTGGTATGCAGGCTTTCAAAGGGCAAAACGAGGGACCCTTAATGGGGACCCCTACCCTGTAATGGGCTATATAATGGGCTATATAATGGCTATATTACGGGTATATACCTACTGTTGATGATATAAATCCTGCATTACCCACAGTAAGGAATATAACATAATTCCCATAGTCTAGGGTCCTTACGGTAAGGCAGGAGTTCTATCATCAACCCTAAACCCTAAACCCTATAGATCCCTTAAAGGAAGCCCTTAAAGGTATCCCTATAGATCCTTTAAATCAACCGTATAGGGGTCCTTATTAAGGGTCCCTCCTTTTCCCCTTGGATTGTAGTATCCTTAAGGGAGGGGGGTCCAAGGGGGGTATATAGCCTAGTGATCCCTAATTCTCCCTAGTACTCCCTAAGGTTCCCTTACAGTCCCCTAAGGATTCCTGGAACCCTCCCCCCTTGAACCACCCTCCCTTAAGGATCCTATAATTGGAGGCTTTGAGCTCCCGGAGATCGGTTTTTGAGCTTCGGGCTGAAGTCTCTGCGGTGCTCCTCTCGGGGCCGTAAGAATTAGAATGGGGGGCCTTTAAAGGGGGTTCCCTTTAAAGGGTTCCTATAAGGACTACTATAAGGGATCTATAAGGGTATACTCTAAGGGGTTCTATAATGTAAGAGGCCACAAGGGGTTTTAGCCTATGGCGGTTTAGTAGGGATTAGGGTTCCCATAATAGGGTTCATATTCAGGAATCCCTACCCCAAGAATCTTAAACCCCCCTTTGGGCCTCCCATGATTGGAAGGTTCCCTTTTTAAAAGGGTCTATAGGGCTAGTATAAGGGGGATTTTGGGGGCTTCATATATTGGGGCCTTCATGATTAGAATGGGGTTTTTGAGGGGGCATTCTCTACGGCAGCTATTACAAGGAACGCACCCGAATAGTTGAGTAATTCTCCAGGCCTTCATATTAGAAGATTTGGTGGTCGTCAGTTCAGGTATGTGAGGAATTAGGGTTTAGAGGTGCTGCTTGGTGTAGAACTTAAGAAACCCTAAATCCCTCGGAACCCTATAGAACTTGAAAACAATAATCCAGGAACCTTTAATCCCTTAAACCCTCGTCCCTTGCCCTGATGCTCAAAACGCGACTCATAAGCCTGTAAACCAAGAAGCAACATCAAAATGAACTTCATCCTTCAAAGGAGCCCTTAAAAGGAAATCTAAACGTTATCCTGTAAAGGAACCCTTGAAGGAACTCTAAGCAAAGGTGTGCGGGGCATTGCCCTAAGTCGCGAGCAGCTTCGTGCGAAGGCTGACGGCTGATACATGGGGTAGGGGTTAGGGGGTTGGGGTTTAGGCTTTAGGGCTTAGTGTTACCTAAGCCCCCAACAGTATAGGTAAAGTGTCCAACATCTACAAAAGGCCTATGTTCTGCAAATTGTGGGCCCAGGTAGGGTTTAGGGTTTTTGACCTATAGCCCAAGCACTAAGCACTGCTTAGCAGGGTTCAGGGCGTCATCAGATTCCCGGAGCTCCGCGGGTCTCTTGGGTGGCCTAACCACCATATGCTAAACCCGAAACCCCAAACCTTAAACCCTTAACCCTCAAGGGCTGCATTCGGCCAATCTCCAAGTGCTCCCCACCCAGTCTTTCTGCGAGATGGATATGGTCTACAAGCAGGCCTGTGTGGGAAGCTAGAAAAGGGCTTTACGGTTTTGGGTTTGGAGCTCAAGAAATCTCCTAGAATGTAGAGTCGAGGGTTGGGAAGTTGAGGCCAAGAACTGTAACTTGGGGGTTGGGACAGGAAGACACACTCATAACACCATCAAGGACGATGCTTTTTGGGGGCCCTTCCCCTTTGAACCCGAAACCCTACTAAAACCCTGTAAGCCTTAACCTGTGCCTTCCCGATTCACATGCCAAAACAGCACGAAGCTCACTCAACTCAGACATTGCGCGATAGAATTCTGGGGGCGTCGAGGCTCGAAGTGTCATAGCCATGGCACCAGAGTAGGTTTCATCCTGTCCGGAAGCACCTCCACCTTCTGCCGCGAGCCATGCCAGAAGCTGTTGTCCCTGAACCTCGTAGCCTCGTATACATCTTGCTCTTAGAAAGAGTGGAACTCATGCGTATCCTTCCTCCGTGCATAATAAGAGCCCGCAGAAAATGAGGTTATGGTAATTGAATGTAAATCGGTAAAGCCACAACCACTCCCCCCCACCGACCCCCACCCCCGGAAGCTCGAACTAGCTTAACCGCTTAGCCATCTCCGCCCAGCCCATCACAGGTTGCCTTCAGCGCTGGCGCACAGGCGCTGAACAGCTTTACCGTTGACTTCAGCCGCTTTGCATTGGCGTCTATCGTTTTTGTTGGCTTCGGCTTTACGTGAGGAACTAAACCACGTATAAACATAAAGCGCTAAGGTGCTTCATGAGGCACCTATTCGAGCACAGTCTTGATCTGTATTTCGGATGCTAAGCTGGGTGTTTAGCATTCGAGGTTCGGAGCTCGCTCTTGCGAGGTCGTAGTTGGACCTCGATTTCCTGGTTCCGTGTCATAAAAGTGCTTAGGTTGCTTGCATGGCTGAAAGTTGAAATCTTCGGACTCAAAACCCGAGGGTCTAGTGCCAACCTGGGTGGCAACATGGGAAACTTGCTCATTTCCCTTATGGTTCCTATAGAGGTACCTATTCATAAATACTTTTCAGAACCCTAAAACTACAACCCAGCAACGCACTTCCAGCAATATGACGTTGAGGAGCGGTAGCTCAGTAGTCGTCACACCAGCAGGAGGAGGACGACGAGGTGCAAAGGTAGAGGCGGTAGAGGCATACCTGCCGGCAAAGATCATGAACCCTAGAGTCCAAAGGACCCAACAGTAGTGTACTTGGGTTTTCGATAGTAGTTATGTAGAATATTTGGGAGACTTTATGACCATTAGGTACTTGGACCCTTGGGGTAAGTAGCCATGCCCCAGTGAACCAGATAACATATATATATATATGTACATATATATGTGTGTATATATAGCATCATTGACATCTGAGTATATACTATATATATATACATACCGGCCGAGCAAGAACGAGCTCTGGTGCGGCGGCTGAAGCATAAGACTTCACGGACAGCCATGTTATCTCCAACATGCCTTGGAAGAGCTCACCTCCTTGAACGGGAGCGAAAGATCGGTAGATCGCATCCGTGGAAACTACCTGGCAGGGCAGCAAGAGACGCATCAGGCCTTCATGGCGATCCCGACCGCGTGGGCAAGAGCCCACACTGTAAGTTGCTGCAGAGTCTGGAACTTGTGACTGGACCATCCAAGAGCTTACCGTTGGTTAGTAGGGAATGGAGGAATGGGGTACAATTATAAATACTATTACTACCATTCTTCCATTCCCTACTAACCAAAGGTAAGAGAGGCCTTCAAGGAGGCAATGGTGCTCATGCGGAGCCGAGTCGCAAGACATGCCGTAGGGCACTCAAGAAGCTTCCTGAACGACCCCGAGACGATGAACCACGTGGCCTACAACAACATGCCTCGCGGCTTTCCAAGACCCGCATGGCACTTGCGAACATGCGCGGGCTTGCGAAGACTTCGCAGCGATTTCCCGTCAACCTCATAACTCAGGTCTCGAAATACCAGAAAGTGCCCAGACTCCACGCCTTCCAACACTTATGGTAACAGCTGGTCTTGTCTAACCAACTGATTTCGACATGCAGGGATGTTGTCATTCCTGGAAACAGTGTCCTCCCCCTAACCCGAAACCCAAACCCACACACCTCCAAGTAGTTTGAGTCTGAGGCCTTGCAGTGATAGCCCCGCCCCCCTAAGAAATCATTGACAATTCCAGCAGGGATGAGTCGAAAACCACAATATGCGGACCTAACCTCATCTTGATCTAAGAGCGTTTTCCCCCACATCCTGAGCTACCTTTAGAAAAGGGCAAGACCTTCTTGCAACACCCTGGACTATGAGGTTTCTCGGTAGCTGCCGTGCGCGAAGGCACCGACGGAGTTAGGGAACTTGGGCGGGCACAAACCTTAAGGGCGAAATGATCCCTAAAAGGGTTTAAGGTTCATATACCATATAGGGATTCATAGTATACGGGTATAGGGCCCCTACTTTTAAGGGTCATTTGGTCCTTCAGGAAGCAACTGTTGTGGAGAGAGCCCTGAAACCTCTCAACCCCTGGCCCGAGATGTTGAGGGCCTTCGGGGTCAGGGACGACGAGTGTTGGCTTATGGGTCCGAACATTTCGGAGATTAGTGGGAGTTTCCGAAAATTTGGGGGACCTTTATTTGGGGGTCCTTATGATAAGTATCCTACGATTTAGGATATTAGGGTCCCCTATCTTTGGAAACCCCCTAGTGCAGGTAGTTCAGTGGAGGAGAGGAGAGTGTAATTGTGCAGGACAGGATGAAGAAGGTCGGATGTTTGTGAGGGTCAACATTCACCTTTCAAACATGTTATGAGGTATTTATTCGTTAATAAGAATATATTGAAATATTTTTTTGGGTCAGGAACCTTGACCACCAAATCCCTCACAACTTAACCCCTCGAACCGCGCAGACCCTCGAAAACCTCCAGACGAACACATGGCCTTCCGACGCAAGGCCTCAGCTCAAAACCGCCTCAGAGCACCGAATGCCAAACCGTTAACTGATTCTTGGAGTCTTGCCTTTGCTATCCGAAATCAGCCGAGCCTCGCGTGTCGACACAAAGGGCCTTCGTTTTTAGTACTTTAGTCAAATGAGCAAGCTTTGCGAAGCAGGTTTGATATGCTGGCAGCATGCGATACCACACCCTGTAGGAACTGCCATCGTTGCCTCAGCGATGATTCCATACCGCACCCATCCACCCATCAAGACCCATGGTATTTCCATATCTGCATAGGTGTTTTTCAGTTTGCAGATATTCAACCTCTTGTCTGGCTTCTTCATATGAAAGGTATTGCTGTTGCATAATCATCTGAGTCTCTGATTCGGGCGATTCGGCGAACTGTCAACTCATACATTCGCATGATCCTTCGGTACAACACCCCCCCCCCCCTCCCCCCCAATCTTTACCGCTCTCGATAGCACCCCTATGCCGGAATATCCCTTGCGACGCACTTTGAAGATCCTCGAGTCCTACATGTACTGGGCTTCCCTCACAGGTGAGCGTTTTTTCAAGCCGAAGATTCTCAGCCTTTGCAACGGCAGCCCTCCGGATCATATTGACTGGAGCAGATTCCCAAGGGGTTGTTGGAACTGCGATGTTGTTATTGTGATTGCTTGGGGACTCTAGTTTCTGCTCCGAACTTGCTCTGAATTAGGATACATTGTTAACGATGATGATTAAGCTGAGGAGGTGGAGGAGGTGGAGGAGGTGGAGGAGGTGGAGGTGGGGGAGGTGTGATGCTGCCTACGTAGATGGGTCGATGTTGACATCAACAAGTTCGGCCATGACTATGGTATGTATGCACGTTCACTCTGGTGACCATCCCTCTTGGCTTGAGTTTGCCGGTCATGGGTCATGAGCATTTGCTTCGTGAGTTTTTGGTAGAGGTATCTGGAGCCGCCCGAGTCCGGTCAACGTTGTAGGATTTAGAGTTTCCCGATAAGCCGTAAACAAGCCCGAAACGTTGCACCTTTTCCTCGGCCCTCAGCGAAATGACACCTTTCAGGCTCCGGGAACAGTCGACGGCTGAAGATAATGATGTGCAGGTGCAGGCTGAACCTGTAACCCTGAGAAGTGTGGAGTTTCGGACCGAGTTTGAACTTTGACACGGGTGCATTCCGCATCAACTTCTTTGTGGTGTAGCTGGGGCAAACCATTCTTTGTGGGTGGCAGGGCTATATCCCAACCTTTCAAAACTTAAAGCCGTACCGGCTGCTGGAATTATCTGCTCTGTCTCCCGAACAACCTGCATCGCGAAGAGGAAAGAACCAAAGCCCTGAATACAAAACTCTGTAATCAGGCCTGAACCTCAACCCGACAAACGTTAAACATAAACTCGAAAGCTCTGGGAGCCTGAAGCAAACTCAGGAGGTGGATTCCGAATTCAACTGGAAGCGGCGAAATTGTCACTGCTTCTCTTCTCGCCCACGCAGCGGCTCGTCGTAGCAAGCCTAGAGAACGGGTTTAGCAAGGGCCGTTCTGACAGGAACCAGGGTACCCTGTCTGAGTCACAGGCGGGAAGCCAACCTTAAAGCCCTGGACCCTGAACCCCAAGCCATAACCTTGGACCCAAGCCCTGACCCCGTGAACCCTAAACTCTCAGCTCCTTTGGGCCTGGCTTCCTTCCAGATGTGTGCTTTCTCAGACAGACCCCTCCCACTAGACCGAACTACAAAACAGAAGGAGGAGCTCTAAACCCTAAACCCTTAAAGCCTAAAACCCCTAAACCCTAAACTGACTTTTGTGCTTCCCCAAAACTTCGACCGGGAGCACAGCTCTCTTCCAAATCCACCAGAGCCCTCACCCGAACTTTCAATCCTTAAACCCGAAACCCTGAATCGGCGGAGCCTCACCCTAGACCCGAAGGCCGGGTGTGGGGGATTGAACTTGTATAACTGGTCTCCTGAAGCTTTCCTCCTGTCGCCACAAAAGCTTCGCGGCATGTAATTAGTTGGGGTGTCGGGTTGAACGTACCGAATCTCAAAGGCTCAGCGAGCAGCTAGCCAGGGTTTGGGGACTTGTTTCTGTGTCAGGAAGCCTATAAACCTTGCGCACCCCCCAACCCAAAATCAACCCTACCGATGACGATACCGGATGTAGAACGGAACCTATCCCCCAAAACAGACAAACAGCCGAACCATTAAAACCCTAGACCCTGAAGCTGTACACAAATACCGAGGAGATGCAGGGTTTTGGGCTTGTAGCCCCAAGCCCGCAAAGCACCTACTCGGCCTGAGTGTTCGGGAATTGTAAGATAAGGGCTTCAGGATTTGCGGCTGTTCGGGTTGTAGGATTGTAAGGCGGGAGCAGGGTGCTGGGGGGGGCAGAAAACATGCCTGAGGACTTTGGTTGGAGAGTTGGCTGCAGATTTCGATTGGAAGGAGAGGCAAGACGAGGGTTTAGGGTTTAGGCCTAGAGCTCGCGTTTAGTGTTCAGGATCTAGAGTTGGGGTTTCGCATAGCTTAGGTTGCAACGCTTCGGCCATGCTGGCATCATTTGCTTGATTTGTTCATCGATGTCCTCGCTGGTTGACGTTGCCCCATAATTACCCTAAGCCGATGCAAACCTCTAAGGCTACGAGAGTTGGGCGCTTTGAGTCAACAACAATGTGAGCCAAGTAAGGGTACTAATTACCTTGAACACTGTAATTAAATCAAAAAGGAACCCCCAAAACAGTATTGGTAAATATTAAAAAGCCACCCTCCAAACCCCTACCACCACTCAGGAAGCCAAAGCCCACTCCCCGAAACCCGAAGCCGCCTCTACGAACCCCGCAACCCCCGAAAGCCCTGAACGCTAAGCCTTTACGGAGCACTTTCGAAACCCCAGAAGCCCTAAAAGCCCCGAAGGACCTAACGGCGCCCAAAACCATAGAGGCCTCGAGCCCCAACACCCGAAAGGCCGAAAGTTACCCGAAAAGAATTGAGCCCTAAACCACTAAAGCAGCTGAGTATCGCTGCTAAGAGGTCCGATGTGTGGACCCGAGTCACCTGCACGTTGGAGTCCGAGCTACCGGGCTGTTTTTAGCGGTTTAGAGGTTTGCGGGTTTTTGGGTAGAGTCTAGGGATTCGGGGTTTATGGGCTTTGGGCTTATAGAGGGCTTTATGAGGTTTCTACATTGGGTATAACTTAACGTTGTAATTATCTTAGATTGGGGGTCGTATATTTGGGATCTAACTAGGGTTTGTATCTCGTTTTCTAAAGCTCTGATTTTGGGTTCGGTTCCCGGATTTCGGACTCAGGGCGCGAGATCCGGGTACGATACGGCATGAATGTCACGGCGCAAAAAGTGGTCTCTCGACTCCAAGACGGACGCGACGGCCAGCAGCACCTTCTCAAACGGTCGAAGAGAATCCTGGGCTACGCTGAGATCCGGTCTACACTCAGGACAGCGGGCAAAGAATCGGGCTCCGAAGCCATTGAGAACAGGTTGCTGAAGGCTGGGCTCTCCATGAGTGCGAAAAGAATCGCATCTCTCCTTCGATGCTTCGATCGGGTCTCTGCAGCCGGGCCAGAAGACACTCCTGTGTTTGGAGCAAGTGGACTCGTTCTATGCTGGATATGTTGGCAAGAGTACCCACTCCTTCCATACCTAGTTTTTTGTAAACCGAGTCAGAAATCGGAGTTTTGTTTGGGTTGTGGCTGCTTTGCTGCGAGGAATGTCCAAGACACTTTGCTGGAATGTTACAGGTCATTGTACGTGAACTAGCTCACGTTCAAGTGTCGTGGCCACTGGCCCAAAATCCCCGAAAACCCACCAAACAAACCCTGAACGTTTACATCCTGCGGCAGCGACGTTCATCTTGATCTTGAACTTCTACCACCCTCTGAGATTTCAGGCCTACTCAAACCCCCAGGCAACATAAGGCCCTGAGGCCGTAAGTTGAGCCTTCCGGGCGAGGGTGCGCATGCTTCTGCTTTTGATAAGGCCCAATGAAACCGTTGTAAGCTTAGGGTTTATAAGGATCCAGAATAAGCCGGTGCACTCTTGAAGACTTACCCCTCTTGCCTGAGCGGCTGAGGCAAAACCCATGAATCCTGAAACCCCGAAGCCCTTGACTCTAAAACACTTGGACCCTTAAGCCCGTGCCTCTTAAACCCTTGAAGCCCCACAGTAAACCTCCAGCAATACAACTCTCTAGATAATTCTTATAGCATCCTTTGCATCCTTTTGGGATCCCTTTGGCACCTTTCAAGACTTAGTTGTGCCCACCCTCAGCCGTGTTGGTATAGCAGATTCCTGTTAGAACCCTAAAGGTCAACCTAATGTTCCGAGGAATCTCAACCCAGACGCGGGTCGAACAAACATCGGGCCAGGTTTGGGCTTAAGGCTTGCAGGGCTTTTGGGTTCTGGGTTTACGGGTATTTGGCTTCGGCATCTGCAGGGTTATTCGGTTTTCGGCGGATCCTGAGGCTATGTTGTTTATGGTATGCGCCGGCTTGTGCATGAGGGAGCCGCCAAATTAAATCAGGACCCTAAGCCTTAAACTTCAGGTTAATATGATTTTTGCTTGCTTATGCGTGTAATACTTCTTGGCTCAGGTTTGTAGTGACAAACAGGGGTGAGAATGATGTGGCAGACTAGACAGCACCAACTACAGAGGGTTTAAGGGTTGAGGGTTGCTGCAGTGCTAAATTCTGCTTGAAACCTAGAGCCTGAACCGAGTTTTCCTGCAAAACAGGGTCAGTTTCTTGCCCCAGAACTGTCCAGGGCCGCGTGTAGCTCATGCCGCTCCGGGCATGGTTCTTGCGAAGGGTTGCCGAAGGCGTTTCATAGGAGGCCAAATGGGGTTTTAGCCTATGGGGGTTTAGTAGGGATTAGGGTTCCCATAATAGGGTTCATATTAAGGAATCCCTACCCCAAGAATCTTAAACCCCCCTTTTGGCTTCTGTGAAACTAACCTGTTTTGCAGCGCGTACAGTGTGTGTACCTAGCGTTTTGTACAGTTGCAGACGTTCCCCTCTACCGCAGGGGCCCCTTGAGTTCAAGCCTACGGCTGAGCGGAAAAGTGACTAGTCTTCGCACTGGTAGCGGAGCTCTCGGTTAAGAGAACCAGAGCTCGTAGCCCAATAGTACGCCCCCTGCGCGGGCGTGTGGTCGCCATGGCCAGTGGATCGCTGGCATATCGACCACACCAGGATCTGGACACAGACCTGACGAAGTTTGGCTTCCTAGTCTACGCCGGAACCGTTCGTGACTTTCACGAGTGGGAGTTCCGAGCTATGACGAGATGGAAGCAGACCAAGGTTGAGGATAGATCCGACCTTGCGTCCAAGTTCCTCGACTCCTTAAGGAGCGAGGCATACATTGTCGCAGAGGATTTGGGTACCGACGTTTTGTTCTCGAGTCAAAACATCCCCAAGGTGATCGAGGCAGTTAGAGAACGCCTGTTCCCTCTGGCGGAACAAGAGACGAAAGAACTTTATCGGTTAGGGACCCAAGTCGGCGGCATGTTGTCACGACAGCCGGGAGAGCCGATGATCTCCTACATCGACCGCCGCAAGCGATGGCTACGCAAGCTTCAGCAATTAGACAAGGCCCTTCACATAAGTGAAGCGGTGCTGACAGATCTGTTGCTGGACAACAGCGGGCTCACCCGGCAAGAGCGACTCATGGTGCTGACCTCGATGGCAGGCAGCACAGCGACGAAGGATGCTGAGACATCGCTGATTCGCATGCATAATCGTATCCACACGTTGGAACGAAAGCAGCCATCCGCCAAAGGCGGAACTGGCAAAGGGAAAGGTTTCCACAGGAAGGGAGACCGAGGAAAAGGTAAAGGATACGGAAAGAGATCCCAGAAAGGGACTGCTTACACGTACCTTTCGGCCGTGGAAGACCTTTTCGAGTACCCTGACGCCGAGGAAGACGACGACGGAACAGCCTACCTGGCAGGACAAGAGGACCAGGACGGCCAGGACGGTGATGGGCAGGACTGGGCGTACCACGGAGAAGAGCTCCCCGTGTACGACAAGGAAGAGGACACCGCGTGTGTTGCCCAGTCGGCCGACGCTTCCCTAAGGGACGTCGAGCTTGATGTCTTCACCGCCTTTATAGGCGCTGGGTTCGATGAGGAAGACAAAGAGGCTTTGGCGTTTCTCGCAGACACCGTGCAGTGCGAGACCGTTGCCTTTATGGCGCGGGCCAAGGCTAAGGGTAAAGGAAAGTCTGTGATGCAGAGGAGTGCACATGGATATCGGCCGCGATCTACCGGTCTCACTGTTGAAGACAGGAGACGGAAGCTTCATGAGATTAAACTCAGGAGCACGTGCAAAACGTGTGGCAGAAAGGGCCACTGGGCTGGTGACAAGGAATGCCCAGGCCCAGGGAAAGGTGCAGGAAAGCCCGCAGTGGCACACCTTGCCCAGGTCAGGCGTGTGATGGATAAATCCACACAGACCTGTGACTTCATCGCTAGCCCCAGCGAGAGCGACAGCGAGAGTCAAAGCTTTGACCCGGAGCCAACAGCGAACTACGTTAGCTTGGGTCAGGACTCTGAGACGGAGCCTGCGGCGTACATGGGTTTCTTCGACAAGACTGACTTTGAAGAGTCCGACGAAGAGCTCTTGGACGACTTTGCGTCGCAAGGTGCTCCCTCCACGGAATGGGATACCATAGAGTACCCTGATGGCAGCGACCAGGTGTTTCGGTTCGGGATGCATAGGGGTAGCACCTACCTTGAGGTTTTGCAGAACCACCCCGATTACTACCATTGGGGCCTCAAGGAGAAAGAGCCGAGCACCATGCTAGAAGCATGGCTTGTCTGGGTGTATCGCAACTTTGAGGTTCCACCGGTTGGCGGTGGAAGGGCGACACTTAGGGCAGCCACGTTGCCGGTGGAGGCCGACTCGCTGCAGAAGGCTAGGAAGGAGGTGACCCTTGAGAAGGCACCTAAGAGCAAGCTCGGGTTGTTGAAGCCGGATCCCAAAGGACCGTGCGTTGGAGGATGTCCCGCACATGCATTGAACAAAGCAGGGAGCAATGCGCACGTAATCAAGACCACTTGCATGTTGTGCGGTAACAGGACCTCAAACCCGAGACCAAAGGCTGTACCGAAGAAAGACCCACTCACGTGCGAGCACAAGCGCACGGACAACAGGAACAGCACGAGATCGGTACACCGCACCTTTTGTCTTGATTGTTGCACTATAGTAGAGGAAATCCCGCAGAAGCTCTTTAAGGAGCAGAAGGGACTCGCCGAGCAGGTGCAGCAGTCTCCACTCAAGGTGCAGAACCTCACGAGGAGACAGCTGGAGGAGTACAACTTTACGAAGTTTGAGGCAGGTGAGGTGGTAAAGAAGTTCTTCAAGCACATGGACAAGTTTTTGTTGAAAGTTGACCAAGTCAGTTCAACCGAGTTGTCTAGTTGCCTTGAGGATGCTATGGACCAGGTTGTGGACGAAGTTACGCATGCAACATGGTAGGGCTGCTGATGTAGCTAGGTCTAGTCAGGACGTAGAGCCCCCACCTTTGCCTGCGTTTTCCCCCGTACGTAGAGAGCGTAGGAGTGCACAGCCTCGTGAGCAAGCTTCGCCCGCCGCCGCAGCAGCAGCTGGCCCGAGAGAGAGAGAAGCAGCTGCTAGAGACGCCATGGCGGCGTCTCCTCCCAGCGGGAAGGGCTGGGGAGCCCGCGAAAAGTTCGCCGGCGTGGCGACGGCGGAGAAGAGTGGTGATCCCGAAGGGGACACCAAGCTGACCCTCACAGCCTTGGTGGGGCAGCTGCAGCGAGATGATCTCGAAGGAGACATCAGCCCGAAGAGCGTGCAGAGCTCAGACAGTGAGCCTGCACCCCTGGACGAGGAGATTGCTGAGCCGCAACTCCAGCTCGTGGATCCCTTAGAGGACCACGAAAACGTCTGGGTGATGCTGGACGAGGGCTGCAACCAGACATGCCACGGGACGAAATGGAGGGCTCACTCCTCAAAGGTCCTGGCAAAGTTTGGGTTGCAGTTCACCAGCGTGCGCTCGAGCGGCACGAGCTTCAAGGGCATTGGAGCGGCTCGAGCG